GCTCAGAGGGTGACTTGCAGGAATCTATCATGCCCTATTATATGGGCTCTGGAATCAAATTCAGGTCAGCAGGTTTGGCAGCTACTCTGTGCTTCTCTGCTAGCTTTCTACAGTGATTTTTCCTGCATGTTCTGAGACAGGGTTTCTCTGTGTAGCCCTGGCGGTCCTGGAACTCACTCTGTAAATCAGGCTGGTCTTGAACACTCAGAGATCTGCCTGCCTCTGCCTCCCGAGAGCTGGGATTAAAGTAGTGAACAACCACCACGAGCACCCTGCTGACTTTCAGGTGTATTTTACACTTACTTTAATCCACTTGATCTATACCATTTTTAGTGTATAATAGAAACTAATTTTATTTTTTAATGGATCTCCCCCATCCTGTTTCTCAAGCATTCTACTACACACCTATATCGCGACCCTGTTTTTTACTTTTTGAGACAGTATCTTGCTAAATTATCCAGATTCACCTTGAACTTGTGACTCACCTATCTCAGCCATCCACCGAGCTGGGACTGCAGGCCTTCAGCACCAGACCTGGGTTTATCTTATGGTAGTTCCTTGAGGAAGCTGCCACTGTTGTATACTAAGATCTATATATACACCTAACTGTTCTGGGTTCCAACGTTTAATTTCTTCTATTCTATTATCAATTTCCTACACAATGCTTGGACCAAGACTGTCGTGCATGCTAGCCATACATTCTAACACTATGATGCGCCTTCAGCTCAACACCACGCTACTTTTTCCCTTTATCTCTTTAGAGATTGGGTATCTCTGTGTAGTCCTGATTGTCCTGGACTTCACTCTGTAGAACAAGCTGGCTTCAAGCCCAGAGTTCCAGCTGCCTCTGCCTCCCAAGTACTGGAATTAATGATGCACACCACTATGGTCAACTTCACAGTGTTTTTAATTGTGTAAGTATGTGAGTGGGTTTCTACAAATGAGCCATGCCCTTAGAGGTAGCAGAGGGTGTCATGTCCCCTGAGGCTGATTGTGATCCACTTTGAGTGGTTGATGGGATCTGAACCTGGGACCTTTGCAAGAGCAGAATGTACTCTCAACCACTGAACCATCTCTCCAGCCCCCCACAATATATTAATCACTGTGCTATTACAGTATGCTTTGACCTCTGGTCCCTACTTCCCAAAACACACTGTAGTCTTGATCTCTGTGTCCTGGTCCTCGCCTCTTTCTTCATACTTTTCTCAGCATTCCCTCGTGGCTCCCACGGGCTCTTTTCTCTCCCTAATGGCTTCAGGATCCAGCTTATTCTGTTTTGTACATCTTCGCTGGGTCATATAATCGGAGTTCATACTGAGGACTCCCTCATACTTGCCTCTATTGTAAGTAGAGTATGTTCTAAATATACTACTACTGTATCCAAGAGATATTTAACTCTCCCTGGGAAAAGCTGAGCTTATCTCTCCCCCTCCCTAATGTCTTCATCTCCTATTTTGTTGACCACTATTCAGCTGGTCCTATGGCTGCTTAAGTCAGAAACCTACTTGTCTTTTTCTTTTTCATGTTATTATTTGTTTGTTTGTTTTGATTTTTTTTGAGACAAGGTTTCTCAGTAGCAATGGTGTCAGTAGCTATGGAACTTGCTCTGTAGACCAGGCTGGCCTCAAACTCACAGAGATCCACCTGCCTCTGCCTGAGTGCTGGGATTAAAGGCGAGCACCACCAACCATCTCCATTTTTTTTAAAGAAAGGGTCTTGAGGGGCAGCGAGAAGATTCAGTGGGTAAAAGCACTTTCTGTTTAAATCTGGTGACTGAAATTCTGTTCCTGAAACCCACATAAGACAGAGTGACTATGTATTTATTCTAGATAAATAGGATATCTATTTATAGGTAAATCCTATATTAATATATAAATAAATCCTATATTATTTAGGATATTCTAAATAGGATAGTCTCCATCCTATTTCTGCCTCTTAAGTGCTGAGATCTCAGGTGCTGGCCACTGCATGGCTGCTCTTGTCTTCCTGAGGGTGACTTTCTATTTCTTCTCCTCTTCAAACCCTCTGCTACATTAAATTATAATTACGAGACACGCTGTTAATTATTTTTCCACTCTTACTCTTTTGACTCTTGTTAGGGGCCCACCATCCAGCTCCTAAATCAATCACACAGAGGCTTATTTCTTATAAATGCCTGGCCTAAGCTTGGCTCATTACCTTCCTCTATTTCTGTATCCCTTCCGTGACTTATTACTCCATGGCTTGGCTTGTTGTGTAGCTGGGTGACTGGATCCTTGAGTCCTCTCACACTTGCCTCCTCCTTCTATTTATCCTTTCTGCCTACCAGCCCCGCCTATCCTTTCTCCTGCCTCACTATTGGCCATTCAGCTCTTTATTAGACCAATCAGGTATTATAGACAGGCAAAGTAACACAGCTTCACAGAGTTAAACCAATGCAACATAAAGAATGTGACACATCTTTGCATCTTTAAGCAAATGTTCTACAGCATAAACAAATTTAACCCATCTTAAAATAACATTCCACAACAAGACACCTGTCTATTTTCCTTCTTAGACAGAGACAGGATTTTTCTATGTTACCCTGGCTGTCCTGGAACTAATTCTGTAGACAAGGCTGGCCTCAACCAGGTAACGAGCCACAGAACAGAAAGTAGATTAGAAAAAGGGATTAATATAAGTTATAAGAAGTAGTGGGACAAGGCTAAACTAAGGTTGACCTTTCATAATTAATAATAAATCTCCATGTCATTTCTGAGCTGGCAATCGAAATACAATCCGACTACATCAGTATATCTTTGTATTAGAGGAACAAGCACATCCATTTCATTAGTATGAAAATTTGGCCAGGCGGTAATGATGCACACCTTTAATCCCAGCACCTGGGAGGCAGAGGCAGGCAGATCTCTATAAGTTTGAGGCCAGCCTGGTCTACAAGAGCTACATCCAGGACAGGCTCCAAAGATACAGAGAAACCCTGTTTCTAAAAACCAAAAAAATAGTAAAATTATATGTACATCAAAGAACTGTTTCAGAAATCTATTTAAATATTTCTTAGTCACTTAAATTAAGATGGATTGTGTTATGCCCAAATCCATGGATCCCCACAAAAGCCAACAAAGGAGACCGAGTCCCATATGTAAAAGCAAAGAGCCTTTATTTTAATCAAGTTTGCAAACTTGGTCTCTCCGCATATTGGAATATCCAGAGAGCCCCAAGCTCAATTAGAATTGGGTTTTTATACTAGTAAAGGTGGGGGTGAGAGGTCTCTGAGGTTCAGGAACCCTGATTGACTGACATTTATCTAGGGGTGTCCTGGTGAAGTGCTGGCAGGTGTTTCTATCTACAGTGCTTGGAATGTCAGGAATTTCCTTTGAGTGGTCTGCTCTTGGGTGGGGGTCGGGTAATTGTCTCAGGGTAAACTGTTGAGATTCCAGACTCCATTTAAATTTATTAGTGATCAGAGTCCCAGATGATAATGGTTGGAAGTAAAGAACTTCCTTTGGATGACCTGCCCAGACTTAGCTTTCATGGCTGGCCCCCACAGGATGCACTTTTTGTAGTTCTGGGAATCAAACCTAGGGTTCATGCACGACACAAACTGAACCATGTCCCTAGACAAGTTTAAAATAAACTTCTTCAATTTATTATCATCAAATGTTTAATTTGTATGCCCATTTTTGTTGGGTTCTTATTTGGTTTGGTTTGGTTTTTTTTCAAGACAGGATTTCTCTGTGTACCCCTGGCTGTCCTGGAACTCACTCTGTAGACAGGGCTGGCCTTGAACTCAGAGATCTGCCTGCTAGGATTAAAGGTGCATGCCAGGACTGCCCAGCTGTATCACTCAAAGTCAAATAAATATTAGGTGGGATGGATGTGGTGGTGCACACACCCTAATCCCAACACTTGGGAGGCAGAGGCAGGTAGATCTCTGTGAGATCCAGGCCAGCCATAGCTACATAGTGAGACTTTGTATCAAATAAACAAAATTTCCCTAGTTGCAGCCTCTTTCACCAACCACTGAACCACTGCAGTACCACCTCTAACGGGGAAGCCTGCCTCATCATCCCTATAAGTCAGTCTACACTGTAGCAAGTGTAAGGGTTATGTTTACAAAGATGTAAATTAAAATGGTTACAATTGTGTGCGGCGCCTTCGTGCGTGCGTGCGTGCGTGCAGGGGGGGGTGCGGAGGTGAGAGGAGAACTTGTGGGAGTCGGTTCTCTTTTCCTATTATGTGTGTCAAGAGGATTGTATTCAGGTCATCAGTTCTGGCTGCAAGTGCCTTTACCTTCTCAGCCATCTTGCTTGCAGACCCCAAAACAAGCAGTTTGCTACTTTGTGTTTCTGTGTGAGCCTGTCATAGAGTAGTGTGGAGCGAGTCTGTCCTTTCTTTTCCTTCCTCCTTTCCTTTCATCCTTCCCTCCATCCTTCCTTCCTTTTCTTGTTTAAGACAGGGTTTCTCTGTCGGTTTGGAACCTATCCTGGAACTCACTCTGTAGTTCCTCGAACTCAGAGATCCTCGAACTCAGAGATCCGCCTGTCTCTGCCTCTCGAGTGCTGGAATTAAAGGCGTGTGCCACCACCACTGGAAAAAACCTTAACTCTATAAATTTTCTTCTAGTCCTTGAACAGAGAACGTTGTCTCTCAAGATCTCAAACACTAGGATCTTCTTTTCTACCTAGCTAACTTTACCTATAGGTCACAGGGCATACATTCAGGGGACCACCCTTCCCCTATACTAACCCTAACCCTACCCCAACTCGCTCTGGGGCAGGGGGTCCCTGTTCTTCACACTGTCTAATCCTAATAGGGCCGGAGATTGACTTGACCGCGGCTGAGTCTCCAGCACCTAGGACAGGGTCTGTCACCAAGCGGGCGTGCAGTGGGGTGCGCAGGGAGCTAGCCTGAAAAGAGGCGCCCTTAGGAAGGCAAGTCCGGAGGACGCGGGTCAGCCAAGTGGGAAGGGCCAAGCGTTCCCTTCCCCGGGTGTGCAGCTAACTCTAACCTCCACCACCCAGAGGCCGCGCTGAGCTCCTTCCGGCCAGTAGGAATCGGAAGTGGAGTTGAAGCTTCCCATGATGCTCCGCGCGTCGTCTCTTCTAACCGCAGGGCGACTAAGCAGGCAGTAGCTATGGCTGCGCCCGGATCAGAGGATCTGTCTGCTGCGGCCGCCCCCGGTAAGGCGTGGGATCCCAAACTTGGGGGCCCGTTTCTTTCCTGTTGCTACCTGCCAGAAGGCATTTAGTGACTGGCGCTTTCTCCGTCGTTCCTCCCTGTCTCTTTGGTTCCCGGTGTCCTGGCCGGAGCTGGCTCTGTGGGTCACTTCCTCGCTTTGGGTGGAGCTGCTTCTCCTGTTCTGTCCTTTTGGGTGTGCTGCCCCCCACTTCACATTTCATAGCGAAGCCTTAGTCTCTGCCTCCGAAAGTCCCCTTCTGTCCTGATGTCGTTTTAAGTCGCTCCCGGTCAGAATCAGGTCTCCTGTCACCGTCCAGGGTATATGTGGGTGTCTGCAGGTGTGACCCCTGGGAACGAGAAGACTGATGTTGATTTTAATCCTCCCCCTTTTACTTTTTCATTCACGGACTAGATTTGGATTGGTATGAGAAGTCGGAAGAAACTCACGCTCCTCAAGTAGATCCTGAGACCGTCATCACGTCAGTTCAGGAAGCTTCGGAGCCCTTTTGCCCAAGAGACTTGGTGCCGGTGGTGTTCCCCGGGCCGGTGAGCCAGGAAGGCTGCTGTCAGTTTACTTGTGAACTTCTAAAGCATATCATGTACCAACGCCAACAGCTACCTCTACCCTATGAACAGCTTAAGCACTTCTACCGAAAATCTCCTCCCCAGGTTCGTGCGGGCTTTGGGAGAAAATGGGTGGGAAGACTGTGGTTCTTAGACAGCAGAAAAGTGAGCTAAGAACTCCTCCGCTTCCGAGGAAGCCTAGGTCTTTGCGAAGGCTTTCTTTTCTCGTTTTTCCCCACTTGGGCCTTGGTTTTCTCTCTCCTTGTTCTCTTACTGAGACTCGTCCTATTATGTGTTGTATGAGGACGTCATGAGTTCTCTAAATTGTATATATTTTTTGAAACAAGATTTCACTGTGTAGTTCAGGCCAGAGATCTGTCTGCCTCAACTTCCCCAGTTGACTGCTGGGGCTAAGGTGTGCGTCACCATACCTGGCCTATCCTTAATTCTCTGTCTCCTCTCTCCTCCCCTCCCCTCCTCTTCTCTCTCCCCTCCACTCTTGAGAATCCAAGGCCCCTCACATGCTAGACAAGAGTTGTATTACTAAGCTATAGCCCCAGACCTGAACTGGCTGTTTACATTTGAATTTCTTTTTCTCACATTTTCACCCGTTCCTGGTTTTATTTTAATATATTTTCTTGGGAGGATTTCTAGACTTTAGAGTCTAACAATTTTTTATTCTTAATCAGTTTGGGATCTTTGGGGGGGGGCTTAGAGTTTTGTTTTGATTTTAATGGTCTTGCGATGTTGTCCAGTGTGGTTTTGAATGTGTGAACTTTAAAGTTTTTACATTTATTTTTTTAGTGTGTGTGGGGAGTGGGGAGCAGGCACCACATGCAGGTGTGGACGACAGAGACTGTAGCACTGTAGCAGGAGGCAGTTCTCCTCTACACCCCCAGCGGTCCACTGGGGAAGTTGAGGCAGACATTTTTTTTTTTTTTTTTTTTTTTTTTTTTTTTTTTTTTTT